GTTCTAGGGGAAGTTCCCTGTCCAAGTACAACTTAAGTATTTCAAATTCAACCTTGAGGTATGCGTTTTGATTCTTACGAACGGGCACTTAAAAGTCTTGACAAAAAAATTTCTCACTGAAGAACTAGGAAACTTTTAAAGAACGAATGTTAAATGGAAATTATACATTACTTTGCAAAATCTATGATAATTTATGCTAGTGACCTCAAAAGGTAGGTATAAAGCAACAGCCATTCATACAGTTAATGACCTGAATCCGGTGCAAAAACGCATGATCGCACGGGCCCGGCCGGTGCGTTTCAGCCTGGGTTATATCAGCATCATGATATAAATTTGCATTCGGTAGAATGAAATATCCCGAAGAGTAGCATTAGTAATATTTGTTGGTATCAAGAGTAATGCCTAAAGCTTAACAAATCCCAGAAAGATTATGTATTGCACTACGTGACTGAGGGGAGCGTTTAGCACCCCATCATTAAAGAGTGACACTTTGGCAAGTTGCAATTCATAAAGATTTCATTCTCTAACTGGTAAATGGCAATTTTTCCGCCTTCTTTGACTAATGCTGCACTGTTTGGTGGTTAGCCTGCTGCCGCGAGGAGCTTGCGTTTATTTGTCTTTTGAAGGGATCATCAGTTCAACAGTCCTCCTAACTCAAACATTTGGTAAGGTTCAGCTGTTTCGGCATGTCATTAAACATCACCGTCTCATCTAGAGGGTTACCACTCTTGAGCTACCCTTACCGACTAGGAAGTACCACCAAAAAATCGAATTTCATTGAATAAAAAGAAACTGAATTTAGCTAGAAAAAAGGCAGTCCACAGTAAATGCTAATAAAAATATGCTGGAAATGATACGCTGAAACTTACCAGTGTATCTCTGGGAACGGTTTTCCGGTCACATCGCATAACAACGTCAACGTCTGTGCGGTAGGTAGCCGAGGACTCATCTCGATATTGTCTCGAGTGATCACTGGTGGTACTGCAAAAGAATCAAAATGAACTTGGTTTACACGAAATTTTCCTTTAAATGAAATTACTAAAACAATAATTTTGGCAGCTGAATATTAACACTATGAAATTTTGTGATTTAAGGACTAAGCTCAGAACTTGATCTTAGATCCGTAGAAATTTAAATAGTTTTCATTCTTTTCTGGTAAAATGTAAATAAACCTAAAACATCAACGTGTACGGTAGCAACTGATGTGCCCACTTCATTTATCGCCGTACACGTGTATTCGCCAACATGTGTTGGCTTCAATCGAGGAATATCCAGGCGTGCTCCTTTCATCGATATTCTCGCTCCTGAAAATTAGTAAACGTCCACGGCATCTGATCAGCATGTGCGATGCATTTTATGCATTCAGGCTGCGACACATCAGGCTAGCCAGTGCGATCACGCGTTTTGCATGAACTTTAAAGCATTCGGATCGTTATCTGTATGAATTGTTGTTGCTTAACCTTAGCGCACTCTTTAGCGCAAATCATCGTGAATTTTTGCATAAAGAAGAATGAACTCTGAAAACCCAACTGTTCAATGGGCAATTTCCCCGCTAAAACTTTTAAATGCCTGTACGTGAGAATTATGCGTTCCTGCAGGTCGAATTTGAAATCTTTGATTTGTATTTGGACAAGGAACATATCCTAAAAACTTCAGTTTTTTAGCTTTTCTGGTTCTCGAGTTGAAAGTGGGTGACAAAATGTTTTACCGATCTTTGTATTTTTTAGCCTTTTTCATAGTTTTGCTATTTCTAGACGCCTAATCAGTCCTAAATTTTGATCGTTAACCTGCTCAAATTCTCAACATCTGAGTTTTAAGAAGAAAGTTTCCGTTACAGTGGTCATAAATTCAGGTTTTCTGTTACTTCTTGGATTTAACCAAGCAGAGATTGCAAGTTTACTGCTTAGATATGCCTTTTTGTCACCTTCAAATCCTTATAAACGTCAAGCCTAAACACTTCTAAATTTACTGGCTCGTTTGCTTTCTTTTCAATCATCCGCAGATATCAGGGAGGTCTTCGTCAAACAGTGAAACCATTATGGTAAACAAGCGAGAAAAGTCTGCCAACCGTCAGCAGAAGTGATCAGAGGTTGGCCATCTTTGCTCCACGAAAGCGAAGGTTCAGGATTTCCCGTAGCCTGGCACTGCATCATTACGGCGCTATCCACTGCTCGAACATTGTCTTCCGGATGAATGAAGACTGTCGGAGGTGCTTTAAAAAAATTCACTTTTTTGCTACTGAAATATGAAAGAGATGTTTGGTAGTACCATTAGAACTACGCGATCTGTAAAATGCGAAAATAGTACGTCAATGTGAATTAAAAATCATGATTTCCAGCATTGTTTTTTAGTAAATTTTGACGGAATGAAAGATCAAAGAGTTTGGCTTAGCTGCTTCTAGCATATGGGAACAATCCAATAATATCACTAATATGAGATACCCATACTGTTCTTGTCCGGACTGTCTTAGTTCTTAGTGTGAGAAGAAACTTCGTAAATACATGCAAAATTTTGAAGAAACTTTTTTGAAAGTGCCTACTACTACTCACTGAATTCTTATTTGCTATTTCTTACAAAAAGGAAAAACGCAAAACGCACTCCAAATGTCTAAAGTCATTTCGTGCTCCGTCGTACCGGCAGCATTTGTTGCTTGGCATGACCAAACACCAGCATGCTCACGCTTTGCTTCTAAAATTTCCAATCCTGAAAACAAAAAAAAAATTTTTTTTCCTGAAAAAAGGCAAATGTCTCTAAATCTTCCGCATACTGCTAATCTGATTATGTTGTTTCTCTTCGCTGTCTAGTTCGTTTTTATGCGTTTTTTGCAGCTATGCAATGTAGATAAGTAGCAACGCGCACCAGACTAGCAGGTGCGATTATGCGTTTTGTGCAAATTCAGCCAATCGAACGATTGCCTGTTAATGATTTTCACTGCTTTGTACTTCAGTCTATGCAAAAATAGTTCAAA